CAGACACACACACACACACACACACACACTCACTGGCCTAATATTTTATTATTTTTACTTACATGGATTCAGGACCCCTCCGCCCTCCTACATCTTGTGAAGTCAATAACGTTGACTAATTTTTTTTAAACATACAAATAGCTGTATCAGATAAGAAACTTTGCCTGTGTGACATTGTTTGTATTTTTAGAAAAGCGGAGTGATATTATGTGTATTTCAAAGAAACAGAAGCAGCTATCTCATATTTAATAAGCAAGATTTCAGTTATTAAAAAACTGAGGTCTTTATTCCTGGGCATGTTTTCCCTTCCCACCAAGTGATTTCTTTTTTTGTGTCGTACCTCTAATTATGTCTTTATAATATTCGTGACTAGTGAGGTTTACTAACTCCTTCAAGTGCCGAGTCGGAAACAAACATCGGGTATCATGGTTCGCTACTCATCGTTCAGCAGGCCGGATGCAGAAAAACAAAAATACAAAACAAAAAAATAAAAAAACAACCCAAAACAACAAAAATACCAAACAAAAACAACAACAGCAATAATATAAAAACAAAAGAAAAACAAACAAGAACAAAAGGAAGCAAACAAAACAACAGCAAACCGATATTACTCTAGGGTTTTCCCGTCACCCATTTGCACAAGTCATTACCATCCTTCTAGTCGCGTTCATTCATTTTTTCCCGCTGTCCTTTCAATAGCAGGTTACTATAAAGGTAATAATGTTGGCCCTCTGATCTCGCCACAATGCTGGCCATCACTTGTTCAAGTTTAAATCACGGAGCAGTGCAAAAACAAGAGTAGGGGTCTCAAACTCACGGCCCGCGCGACGATTTTTTTTGCCGCCTCTTCTTGACAACAGAGTTTAGAGTCAGTGCAGCCCAAATGTGGCTGAAAAATGTAATAGGAAGCGCTGCCAGTTTTCTGGCAGCTAGAAGATGGTAAGAGACACCGGTATTCTGAAGAACTGTTTAAGTTTTAATCTACTATTAACAAAGATTTAGAGGATTATATTATTTGTTGTACCTTGATTTAATTTAAAACTACCTTTTGTGGAATGTTTGACACTGCCCAAGCTTAACCAAACTCTACCTCAAACGGCCCTCGCGTAATTTGAGTTTGAGACTCGTGCAAATGAGGGATTCAGTATCATCGCACAAGAAGAAAACAGAGATAAATTACTAGTACCCTAACAAAATATATCAAAGCAACCGACTCGAATACCCCAAACATCCTCACATCTTAATTGGGCACCTACAAAAGATCCACCTCCACCTCTGTTTACAATGAGACTATTATACTAGGTCAGATGAGGTAATTAGCACAGGTTATAAGGAACAAACAACATGAGCAAATACGCACAAGGATCTGACACACGGTACGTATTTACCATGCACAAAAAGGATAATTGAAATTATAGTCTGAAAACATGTGTTATACTATCGTAAATTCCTCCTAATAGAACAGTACTTAAGACAGTCTTGAACTGATGAGGCATGCTTGCTGTTAACTCTGATGTGCGATTTCTCATACCGCGTAGGGGGTTGTCGCTACAAGGAACATTGATGCAGGTGACGTGTTGTTTACTTTATATTATACAAGGCAAAGATTGGATGGAACGCAACTGCCAGGGTGATTGCTAAGTGTCGATGTAGTTACAACTGTAACTTTAGATAGAGCAAACGATGAGTAGCGGGGGAGAGGGGGGGGGGCGGTATAGATTGTGAAATTGAAGGTGATTGTGCGTTTGGAGTTATCGTAATCAAGTGCCTGATCTGGGAACGATATCGGCAATCATGGTCCACCCTTCATTTCTTTGCTTGTGAGCCATTAAAACCTGAAACATCCTTGTCTTTACACATCACACTTCTGTTCATATCTTCCCAGAACGTTGCTCTGCGTCTTCACCTGTCTCGTTTGCCTTTAATTGTACTACTAATTGCACTTAGAGAAAGAGGTCAAAGGCTATAATGCTCTTATGTACTATACAATACGAACCTGAGACACTGCTATGTCTCGTGAAGATACACATTATTTGAACAATAAACGACAGAACGATAGTACATGAGCATATTATTATGTTCCGGTGTCTGTCATTTCATTTGTTGTTCCTTCTCCGCACCAGCACAGGACAAGGGTTCGATTACGGAATGGATAATTTATTGTAACGAGTATCTCCGTTTGTTTCGTTGAGATGCAATATTCGTACTCTACCCAAGCCGCCTCTGACAGGTAGGACTGAAGAAACCCGCCTCCAAAAGAATCTAAATGTTATCGATGGACGAAAGGCTGTGTGTCTTATTAAAGAGTCTAACTTTTATCAAACCTAAATAGGGTATTTGTGAGAGAAACTAATTACAGATGGATACGTAACTCTTAGATAACCACGAATGTCTTAACTCCCTCCACTCCCCCCCCGCCACATCCTAAATTTCAAGACAGCGTCTGAACCACCTCCCCTTTCACTCCCCCTCCCAGCAAGCCCTTTAATGATTATCAAGAACTTTCCAGATGCTCCCAACCTCCACACCTGTCTTCTCGTAAGTGTCATGAATAATCATTATTATAATTCTCCCGGCCACATCCAGCACGACAGTCAGAGAAAGGGCTGAATTATGGAGACCTCACGTCGGGGTCATTTACTCCCGGGCCCTTACCCTCCAATGGGTGGCGACAGATACAATTAACTTTTCATAAGTAGTCTCTGGCATTCCGTCATCGGTC